ATTTTGATAAATTTTTTTATAATGAATTTGAATTTAAAGAAATTTTTTGAAGTTAATTTGTAAATGAAAGCTATGCTGCACTGAGAAAATTGGTTGCTATTTTGGTACCCATAAAATATAACTACAATTTTGTATCAGAAGTTGCCAAAAGAAAATACAAAATTGGCAATATTTCCAGCTCATATGTTGAAAAACATATTTATTCTGTAGTTGTAGGCATAGCTGATTTGTGACATTTAAAATGCAGCTAGATTCTATGACTACATTTTTAATATTGACTTTGTGAGATTCTTAATGAGCACATGAATAACAAAATATTTCTAAATATTTATAAATTTTCTATGCTTAACACTGAAAATTTAGCTAAATATTAAGGCCGTTTCTGCAACTACTGACTGTTTTTTAAAATAATCACTTACAAGTCTCGTACTGCAATATTTTTTGCTTGTGCCGTAATAAAACATTGCTTGTTTTAGCTAAAATATATGCTGAAAATTTGGTTAATTTATATAGCTTTCTTTGTCTGTATATAAATTCTGGAAAGAGAATGCTGAAGTAAAGTTTCAAAGTCTTCACTGAAATAAACGATGATTACGATAACTTTAAAATTTTTATGTTGCATCCTCAATAATATCTGGTTTTGAGTAACGAAAACGACTTGTATTTTTTTCCGCTTTAGTAAAACATTGCTTAAAAAGATATTTTCTACCTTTATCCCGATTTCTATCGGTTTTTTCCACTTGGAGCATGCAAAACTATGACAAATATTTTTTTTCTGATTTTATAATAAAAACTGGTTGATAATTAAGTGAATGACAATGTTAATAAAGTGATGTAATCCCTTATTCGAATAGTTCTTTAAACGAATTTCCATTTGATCCTAGTTATACCAATTTATACTCTATCTAAAGTAACAAATTTATTTCGTAATTGGTAGTATGTATTTACTTATTAACTACATATTTATAATGAGAAAAAGAAAGAATTTTCTATCATATTTTCCTTTTCACAAAATTGTAAATTAACAAAGTATTAAAATATTATTAATATACAATACGAGTATAACAATATAACAACGTCTAGAAATTATTGATTTTAACTATATGATTTCGTACGTGATATATTGAGAATTCTTAAAAAATAAAACTTTCAGATAAAATTTCAAGAGAAATCATTATTGTTCAAAATCAAATATAACAATATATGCCAATCAATATTTAGGACATCAAATAATTTTATTTATTTTCTATAAGTTGTAAATTGTACTCGTTTTCCATTCTTTACATTTTTCATTTTATAATAGAGGTATAGTATAAAAGTTATTATTAAACTTTACTAAATAATGTGAATTCAATTAAATTGTTATAATTTAACACCACTTTATTGCTTTATATAAGAGAAAAAGAATGTTAAGAGAGGAAATAACTTTTATTTAACACAAAACACACACACACACAAAAAATATATTTATTTTTTCTGTTAAAAAATTTTCCATAAAAACGGAATTTGTACTATAGAAAAATAGACTATGCGAGAAAGGAAAACAAAGTTTCTTGTTTCGAAATTTTGAATTTTTGGTTTCTGTTTTGTATATTTAAAAAAAACCAGAAAATTTAGAGTTGATTATGAGAACTCTAGCGTTATACAAAACTAATATTAAATGGGATGGTAAAGTAGCCTTACCAATATATTATATAAGATCATTGATTTTAAATTTGAGCATGTGGGGTTTTATATATGGAGTTGTATTTTATGGTTCTTTGATTGAGTTTGCATTGAATAGGGTATGTATAATAGTTCTTCTAAAAATTTAGTAAAGCTCAGTTAGCGTGTTCACATTAACGGGTTTTTGAGTTATTGCTGTGACACAAAAAATGCCGCATGAAATTGAAAAAAATTTACAAGGAAAATATGTAGTTTAATAAAGAATTTGGTCGGGTTTGTTAACCGACCAAATCTCAAAATTGTGAATAAATTTTATGAATTCATAAAATTCCAGCTTTATACCATTTGTACCAGCAATATTGATTTTATTTTACGGTTTACATTACATTTTTTACTGCAATAAAAAATATTTAATTTGTTGTTTATCCTTAAAAAGTTAAATTCCTTTTTTGTTTTCTTCTTTATTTCTTAAAATTTAATTCCCAGGATATTGATTAAAAAAGTTTATTTTTCTAAATCTTCGGTTTAGTTTTCTTATTGTAAAATCTATTTTCATTTTTCTTCTTCATTTACCTTCTACTTTTATCTCATTCTTTATTTTATTTTTCACTTATACAATTTGAAAAAAAAAACAATAAAAACAGAAAAAATTCCGTTTTCATTTAATTTCCACCACATTGGTATTATTTGCTTTTAATTAGTTGTCCAAATAGTTTAACAATTATCTTTCTTATTTACCTTTGTGAACACTTGAATAAATCCTCGCACTCACAATAATAATATATTGTGTACGAGTATATACATAACATTTATGCTTGTGTTATATTTTATTCTTAAAGCTTACCATTTTTGTAATATGTTTACATAATCCTGCACAAATAATTTATTTTTTAATGTCTTGAATTCATTTCATTTTATAGTTATACATAAAATGTATATTCTAACAATGACATTAATGAAGTATGGAGTTTCTTTTGGATTATCATAAATTTTTTACAGTTAATAATTGTACAATTATGTCGGCTTATCAAATAAAATGCGTCTCTTCGTATTGGAAACATATAAATTAATTTAAATGCAATGTAATGAATTCATTAATTTTTAATATATATCAGATTTAAGTGATTGGAGTTAGAAAAATCAGGTTTCTCTTGGGTGTCAATTTTATATTTTCAATAAAAATTATCAAGGCGAACTAATTGAAATATTAAATATGAGTGTCGTTTGCCAATTAAACTACCTTAATTCAATATTTTTGTACAAAATATTTGTGGTATTATATATTAGACCAGGATGGAATGACAATAAACACTCATTAGTTGCAAAAATCACTATGGGTTATTAAAAATTAATTATATAAGTTTGATAAAACTGAATCCGAAATGAGCTTATTTGTTAAAAATCCATTATAATTAAAAATTAATCACATATAAATTCGAAAATCTTAAATTTGAAATTCAAGTCGAATTGGAATCCGAAATATTTTTTGAAAATTATTCTTGACAAAGGAGCATTGAGTAATTCACCCTGTATTATAATAATAAGAAAAATTGCTGGCAATCATTTATATTATTTTGTTGTTATCTTTTTGATTTTTTTTGTTTTCGGTTAATTAAGACATTCGTGATGCATTAAAGTTTGTTCTAATTTTTTTATTTACTTACAATAATTTTTGGTGTTGTAAGCATTTTCAATTATTATTATTTTTAGCGAAAAAATTGGAAAGAAAATTCAAATTTCAAGATGTTTCCGATTCTTTGCCGATAATTAAAAGAGGGAAATTTTGATTTCTGAAATTTAGAATTAAATTTAGAAATTTAAATTAGTAGTTTTTACAACCTTTCGGCTTTCTTTACAAATTTTTTTAACACTCCTCACGAAAATAAAAGCTTCTCTTTTTCTTTGTTAAAATTTTATTCTAGTATTTGTTGATAAATTTGACTAAAATATTGAAATCTTTATTTTGATTCTATTTTATCGTGTAAAATTTTCTATAGGTAAAAGTTGAGAAGATTTTTTTCTTGTACTCGGGCCTTGTAAACTTTTTAAGAAAAATTAAGTTATAAAGATAAATTTTTTTTTTCAGCATGGAAAAAAGTTAAGTTACATTATCAATTTCCTTATCTTTTCTTCTATGTAAAACAAAGTTTACATAGGTCAGGCAGGTGAAATTCTTTTATTTTTAAGAAAATTTATAAGGTAAAAATATTTTCTATGTTTTATACCTATATTATTTCTCTATTTTATTTAACATTAATTACTCTTTCATTTTAATCTTAACTAATTATTATTCCTTTTCCTAGTTTTATCTTTGCACATATATATAGGAAATTACTTTGATTTTTATCTATTTTAGGTTAGCCTTTAATTGCTAATTTATGTTGTAGTGTTTTGTATACAAATATCCTTATTTGCTTCTGTGGAATTGTGTATAACACTTTTCTTTGTTGTATTTCAATGCTTATGTTATATGGATGTGGCTACGAGTTTCTTTTTATATTGTAAAGGCATGTGCTTAGTTTTTCCATCTAGTGTGTGTGTAAATAAATCAGAAAGTTTTGTATAACAGCTGAGTTAAGTATAACAGCTGATTTTAAAAAGTTTCGAAAAATCGATTTTTCAGGTTACTCCAGATTATTCTCATATATGAACAAATCCAAAAGAATTCCCATGAAATAATGAAATTAGACTTTATGTGAACATTGATTAACTCAATGATCTAGACGACACGAACAGTTCGTTTGAATTAATGAATATTTTCATATCCAATTGAAAAAACGGTAGGACATGCTTGTTTAAAAGGCGCCATAACTAACTTGCTTGATCATTTAGTATTATCAATATTTATGACCAAAGGGTATAATCGACATCTATACACGCGTTAACAACTTAAATGACCAACATGCAAGACCAACGTGCATGACCGACTTGCTTGACAAACGTGAATTAACAGCATGTATGACCAACATACATGACAAACGTATATGACCGACTTGCTTGACAAACCTGCATTACCAACATGCATGACCAACGTGCATGACCAACATGCATGACCACATTTCCTCTAACTACAGTACTCTGAACATGATGGTGTATGATTTCGTTTTTGGCAATAGTGTATTTTATACGTAGTATTCTACTTCTTTGTATAATTACAGAAAACGTTTTAAAACTTCAAGTTTTTGTTTTAACTCTATTAACACGCTCCGACAAATTTTGTTTCAAAAATAAAATTTTAAAATAAAAACAAAACAAAACAAAAATTAATAAATTATATTTTAAAATTGTGTTTTTCAATAAAATTAAAATAAAATTTTTCTATTTGTCTTTTTCAGGTTAGTGATAATTTTTCAACTCACCTATTAAATTGTAAGTACATATACATATACTTTATCTATTAAATATGGAATTAATAATGTGTAATGGGAATAATATTCTCCCAATAATTTACCTCATATTTTTAATTGTATATTTTATGAGACATATTTAAGTCTCATGTTTAAATCTCAAGAGCATTTTTTTAATATTTCATATAAAATTTATTAATATTTCAATTACATTAGACAAAAATTCAACCTAAAGATCATTAGTATTTTATTACGATAATGAAATCTATTAGCAAATGAAATTTTATTGATTGATTACCGATTTAGTGGTACAGTCTTTCGCAACCTTGTTACATTTAATTTTAAGTGTTCGTTTCATCGCTATATCTACATATGTCAAATCCCTACTGAGCGATTTGACTTAAAATTTTGACATTATGTTTAGCTTAATATCGAGTCGGTTTTTTGAAGACAAAATTTTCTCCCGGAAATCGATTCGGGCTTTTGTAATGTTCTCAGTGCGACATAATTTTATTTCGGTTTCTGTCGTCGATAGCAAAGATAAGTAATAAATTGCAGCAAAGATAAGTATAAAGTTGTCACACATTGTTATCTGTTGAAATTAATATTAAAATAACTCTGAGTTATTCTTGGGCATTTTGTAGTGATATTTTTAACATTATGCATACTGCCATTATTAGTTTTTTAGTTTGAAAATTATTCAAACTTATTACACTTATTAATTTATTTTGACGTTTTCCTCTTTTAAAGTTATTAAAATTTGGAATTATTTAAATATAAATTAAAAAAAGAAGAACACAAAACAACATTAAAAATCATATTATAAATGATAATTTTTTCGAGTTCACAAGGATAGTTAATATTTCAGTACTCTGTTACAGAGTATAGGAATAAAGAAAAACAAAAATAAATGATTAATTTTATGTTTTATTAGAATCGCGTTCTTTAAATCATTTTACACAACATCTCCGAAAATAATTTCATAAAGTTTGTAAATTTAAAGATCACAAACCATCTGTTCTCAGAAAATAAAAACTTTATAATTATATTCATATAATTTTTTGTTAACACGTGCATGAAAACGATTCATCTGGACAAGAAGGTTTTTTCTTTATTTTGTTTTCGCTATTTTAAAAAATAAAAAATATTATTAATTCGTCATAAATAACCTTTCGTAGAATTTACCTAAATTTTATTTTTTCTCTTTTTCTAATAAAAAAAATTGTTCATTGAATTTTGAATAATGCTTATACGTGTATTGTAAAAAATACTCTTAAGTTCCATATAGCATGATTTATCATTGCAAGCCAACAATGAATTCAAGAACCAATTTACGGAAAAATTTAAACATAAAAAACAAAGAAAACAAAAACAAAATAACAAAAAAGTAGCACACAAATCAAAAATTTATAAAATTTTTAGCATTCATGTAATGAAAGATTTTTCTATAATTAATAGTGTGTTTCATTTGATAGCTTTTAATTAAATTGTTAAGTGGTATGAGGGGTTTTAACTGGTATATTGTGGACTAAAATCTGTTTATTATAAAATAATAATTGCAATATACGAGTATATATACACGAAAAACTTTTTGTATAACATTTCTATTTTCAAAATCAAACCGTACACTGTAAGAAAATCTCATGTGAAATTACTATAAAATTAAAAAAAAAAATATTTTAAAACATTATTATTAATATCGTATTATTTTTATTAATATCGTATTATTCAAAATATCAGGAAATTTCACTCAAATTTATGCTAATTTCAAAAATTCTAGAATAAATTTACTATTTATTATTTTGTAATGCAGTTAAAATTCACTCTTAAAAAAAGTAATTTTCCTCTGTTAACAAGAGAAATAACATGAATAGTGTGCAATTAAATCTTATAATATGTATGTCGAGTAGTTTTACATATTACGATGTAATGATATTAATAATTTTATTTTAGTAAAATCGAAAATTTTCTGACATTTTACTATGAAATATGCACTCTATACCAAATCACATAAAATTCCATTACACATACCAAATTATCATAAAATACTGTATCGTAACTTCTATAGTACATGTAAAGCAAATCACATTTATTGCAGCCACTTTCAATGTATTTTTTTTTACAGTACCCATGTATGTTGTGTGTAAATGAAATGAAGTTTTCATTTTAAATTTTTAATCTTCTAAATTCTTTACTATACATTGTGTATAATATTAAACGAATTATTTAATTAACCGTCATCAGAATTTCTTTAAATTCTTCATTATAATAAGTTTGCCTTTTGTATTTTAAAAATGTTACAGAAATAAATAATATCGTATACAAAGTATATAGATATTTTGTATTTATGTATGCATGTTACATGTTTACTGAAAAATTTGACTTCAAAAACACTTAATTTCAGATGCATTCTTACATGAAAAACATAAAAACAAAGAAAATAATAACAAAATATAATTCTTAAAATATAAAAAATATAAAACACAAAAAAAAATTTCCCTTGTAACTTTTTACACCTGTAAAGTTGGTTTTTACTTTGAATTTTTTCTATATTTTTATTTCTGTTTTTTTTTTTTTTTTGTTCAAAGAAATTTTCAAAAATCTTTATATTGTAAAAGCAAACCCTAAAGCATTCATCATTCACTTGCTCAGGGTATTACTTGAATACAAGTACATTATACACACACACATAATTTTGTATATGATGTTACAATAATAGTAGATTGTGTATATAGTACACATTTTATCCCTGTATAGCTTAGGTATATATATCGTTATAACCTGTGGGTGCTCTTGCATATTTTTACTTTTATTTATTAAAATACGATTTACTAAGAATAAGTTAATTTTGTTTTTCATAGAAGTTTAATTTTTTTGATTTTTTCGTTGGTTTTGAAAAAGTAGAAAAAATAAAAATTTCTGTTGTAAGATTTTCCGAAAAGTTCTTTCATCTAATTTGCGTGTATTCCTTTAAAATTTTATTAAAGAAAATTTCTGTAGAAATAAAAATAGATGCTCATGCGTAACCTACTTACTTTTAGTATTATATGTATATAAAAGTATTTTGATTTTTGAGAGTTGAGTTTTTTATCAGACGGCGGCATTTCCAACGAATTTTTTAATTAAAATGAAAATTATTTATACTCGTAACGTTTGCACACAGTATGAGAATGATGTGAGCGTATTCTGGCAAACATAAAAAGGTAATCAATTTTTTTAATAGAAGAGCTAAACAATATTTTTAGCGGTAACGAAGTAATTATGTTGTGAAAAGTGTTGTTTTAATGTTGGGGAATTCTAAAAATATTTTCACGTATACTGGTTTGACTCTTGTATTATTCATCCATGATCAACTGTTCAAGCCAAACCGTTTTAATTTAAATATAAATTCAGTCAATGTATACTCCATGAGCATAGAAAATATAGATTAACAGATGTAGAAAAAGAAACTAATTCATTTAATAAGAGGATGAGTTCATGAGGTTGCCCCCTCTTTTCCTACTCAGTAAATTTTTGTTTTATATTTGATAATACTTTGCGCTATTAGAATAGAACAGAAATCCTATTAGTACTAAAATAAAATAAATTGTATAACAGATATTATTCATACTTGTGTAAATTAGGAGATGAACTTTTTTGACTGCGGAACAATGTTGAAATTTTGGTCTTCTTTATTTGCATCAATGACTAATTTCGTTTTTGCCCCTAATGTTTTCTTATTCTTATTTTAAATTTTGATCCTGAAAATTTTTTTTTTAAAAATTTGCTATAAACTTGTCATATTCGCCATGATCTTTATGAAAAATAAATATTTTCATATTGATAAGAACACAATTTTTTAGATTCTATGCAAAATTTAAAAAAGATTTTGATTCCTAAAGCAATTATAGTCTAGTTGTCAGTATTGTTGTTCAATTTAATGAACCAAAAAGAAAATTTTTAATAATTGAATGAAAAATCCAATCAAATTTTTATGAAATTAATTTTATTGAACTTAAGATGACTACATTTGCGATGAAAATTAAGTACAGTGAACCAAATAATTTCATTTCATATTATTAAAATTAAAATTTATTGAAGAAGTGAGAGGGCTCCCACTTTCCCATTTATACCTGATTTGCTATAATAATTGTACAAAATTCATACCATCACCAGATCATTATAAAAATGCCCTGTGACCATATTTTTGAATTTTACTAATTTTTGTTTTTTTTTTTTTTGTTTTTACAATGAAAGAAAATAAAGTAAAATAAACTTTATATTTTTCGTCCTTTATAGTATTTAAAAAGAAGAAAAAATTTTCTTTATTTCTTATTTATTTTTTTTTTGGTTTGTTTTTGAATGAAAGTGTTTTACTGGAAAAATTGTAGAATCTTATGGTTGAAATCAACTTTTAAAATTAGAAATGAAAAAATGTGAAAAGAAAATAATATTAAAAAGAAAAGAAAAAAAAAATTATAACCAAAAATAAAATACCAAATTATAAGGATGTCAAAACTGAAGAAAATTGGGAAAATTTTACGGATTTTAAACAAGAATATTTTTTATTAAAGACGACAAAAATTTAAGATTTTTATTTTTTATTTTATTATTTTCCATTAATTTGTATTTTTTGTTTTTTATTTAATTTCTCAGAAAATGAAAAGAGGTGACAAAAAGGACACAAGCACAAATTTTTTTTTTTCTTTTTTAAATAATAAAAAAGGGCCTGTTGGTGTTAAGAGAAAAATGGTCATTTAAAATAGCTTTTAATACCTTTATTTTACTCTCTTGGTGTTTGTTTACGTGTTTGTATGAATAATTTTCTTTTTTTGTTTCGTATTGGTAGTTTCTAATTGTATACAAATTTTATTGTATTTAAATGGGTAAGGCACGCAATACACTTTTATTTGTGTAACATATAAAAATAAAAGTAAAGGTAAGAAAAATTTCTTGGAAAAAACCATACTGTGGTCTTTATATAGAATTTCTTTTAAATTAATTAACAATTTCTTTTAATTTTAATTTCCGTTATTTTCATTTAAATTATTTAAAGTAAAATTGAAAGAAAATTTAATTGGCTTCAGAACAATTTTAAAATATTGTGATATGAAAATTTTTTTTGAAATATTTTAGAGTTT